AATTTAGTTTACTGTCTATAACAAAGAAATACGTTTAACATGTAACCTATATACCTTTAGATTTTTATTTAACCTGCTATAGTAAAATCAAATACATACTTGCGAAGGGTGAGAGACGTTTAAAAACATGTCTTTATGATTCCTCAGCCACGTAGCATAAAGAAAGGTTGCCACATAGACCCGTAATGTGGCATAGAGGGAAATATTTTATAATTCTTTTTTCATGTTGTAATTAGCATTTCATTTCAGAAGTCATATCATTTTATTTCCCTGTAAAGTGTTTTTGATTACTATTTAGAATTACGTTTAGCATTTTCTATTCAGTATATTGTTTTGCAATTACAAGTATTCTTTTTTAACTATGTAAAAATATTTTTAGCAACATTTATTCAGTTCATTGTCTTGGCAATGTACATCTTGTATATGTATTTTTCTTTCTTTCGTACTATTGATGTTTCCACACTATACGTTGTATGTGCAGTTAAGATTGATTAAACTCTATTTTTCATCAAGCCCTAATGGCGTTTTTCATTTCGAACTTAATGGGAAAAAGCGACTATAATCCCATAACTTAGTAATAAACAAAATGCTTCGTCAGAAGAACGGGTAATATCGTTGGTAAAATAATCATGATAATAATAGTGATAATAATAATTATTATCAATGTAATGGTAATGATAATAGTAATGCTGATGATATCAAAGGTTATAATAATGAGGATAATGATAACAGATTATTACGTTAATAAAAGTGTTCATAACAACAACAACAATGACAATAATGACAGTGATGGGAATGGTAATATTCATTATGATATCAATAACAATGCTAAGGATAACAGTAACAATAATAATAAGAATAAAAATATATGTTAGATTATATGATAATGATCACTGACATGGTGACATAGATAATAATATTCATATAAGTACGTGACAATCATATCAAAATGGCAACAGTAGTGACAATCGATATGATGATAGTAATATGAACGTTATCACCAGAACTACAAGATAATAACATTAACAAATTGCCATTATTACTACCGTTCTTATTATATTACGCTGTTAAGAAGGAATTTTCACTAGTTGACGCAAATATTATTATATAAAATTATATAAAATGTCTGATTCAGTCAAAATAGATGAAAAGCACTGGCGAAAAAAATGAATTATTATAACAGGACATAAAATAATTACTGTAGATACAGAGTGAATTCAGGCATCTTATTTAACCTAAGCCAAACGAGAACCGATACGAACACAAACAGGATAACTCTTCCGTGCTCTCTTTTTCATCAAAAAAAAATTATCATTCACTTCTGTTTGAATACTACTGTTTGTAATTTTAGTTACACAACAAACAAGAAGATATAAAAAGAGCTCTTTGAAAAATGTTCTTGAATGATATCTTCATACTGTAACGATTTACAACGAGAACTATCACTTGACTGAGGCGAGGTTTATCATGATATTAGGAATAATGGAATAAATCGTAAGGAAAATAATGATGCTGATAAATTTGTAAAAACGGTGATGATAATGATGATAATGATAACATCATCATCAACATCCTTAATGACTGTAATGAGGATGATAAGAAAAACAATATTAGAATCAAGTATCATTGTTATTGTTTTGCCATTGTCTCCGTCTTTATCATCATCATCACTCCACACCATCATCATAATACTTCCCTTTATATCTTTATCATTACCCTTGCCATCATAATATCACAATAGCCATTATATCATCAATATTCCTTCCTCCTAGTCTTTTTTCCCAGCGCGTTGCCAATGTAGGTCTGCTGGTAGGTTAGTATAGAAAGCGATGACGATTTTTTATGCAGATTCATATCGATTGCTCCTTTTCCTAACAGGGGTGTCGATGCAGAGGCGAGGACTTTTACTTTTTACTCGTTGTATCATGTTGAATACATATATATATATATATATATATATATATATATATATATATATATATATATATATATATAGAGAGAGAGAGAGAGAGAGAGAGAGAGAGAGAGAGAGAGAGAGAGAGAGAGAAACTCAGACAAAGAGACAAACAGACAAACAGATAAATAGAGACAAACAAATGAGAACCGGAGGGTTTGAGAGAGAACAGAAGAGAAAAAAGGAATAAAACAGACAATGAGAAGCTGAAATATAGAGAGCGAGAGGGAAAAAGTTCTCGGAACCTAGGCTCTGTAGAACAATTACCCCCCCCCCTCCCTCCTCACCGCCATCCCCGCCCCCTCCACCGCCCTCACATGTTGGCACTATGGGGGACGGCTGCATGTTCACCTATTACGTCAGACAGTACAAAGTCGGGGAACACACCTAAAGCAAGCGACGTGTATTAATCATGCCTACATCAACCGCACGAGGAACCAGTTCTTATCATCCAGGATTACGAAAGGAAAGCATAGAGCAAACGTATTTCTCGATATCTTAACCCTCGGACCCCATAGGCAACTCCCGGACAGAAAGATTCCAGGTAAACGTTACTGGTTACCGGGTCACGTTGTGGCACCTGTATCAGTCTTTGCTCAGTGCCGGCACCTGACACACCTGTTGTGCGTGGCTGGCTGTGTCTGATACCGCATGGACTGGGCATTTTTGTGTTGTTATTTAGTTGATGTTGTGCTAAGGATTCGTTACGTAGGATATAACGAAATGCGAAGTTTCGTCTTGTGTCTTTGAAACATGATTAAGGCCTTTTTTAAATAAATCTATTGACTGTAGTATTCACAATTCATCATGAATATCTTACGAGTATTTTCTTTGTTCTTCGCCTTGCCTTTGGTTATCGTCTTGTTCGTAAGTAAGGTAGAAGGAAGCGAGAAAGGAGATGAAGAGAAAGATGGAGGAGGAAGAGAAGAAGGATTAAGCCAATTTCGCAGAGGCAGGATTCTAAACTCAGGTGACATGTGTTACTGTTTATTTTTTTTTATCCACCGGCCCTCAACGTGTTGGCACTATTGGGGATCGGCTGCTTGTTCACTAACTATTACGTCCAACAGTACAAGTCGGGGAACCACTGAAAGCAGCGACGTGTATATCCATGCCTACATCAACCGCACGAGGAACCAGTTAGTTATCTATCCAGGATACGACAGGAAAGCATAGAGCAAACGTATTTCTCGATATCTAACCCTACGACTCCCATAGGCAACTCCCGGACAGAGATTTCCAGGTAAACGTTTACTGGTTACCGGGTCACGTTGTGGCACCTGTATCAGTCTTTGCTCATGCCGGCACCTAGACACACCTGTTGTGCGTGGCTGGCTGTGTCCTGATTACCGAGGGCATGTGACTTGGGCTTATTTTTGTGTTGTTATTTATAGTTGATGTTGTGCTTAAGGATTCGTTACGTAGGATATAACGAAATGCGAAAGTTTCGTCTTGTGTCTTTGAAACATGATTAGAGGCCTTTTTTAAATAAATCTATTGACTGTAGTATTCACAATTCATCATGAATATCTTACGAGTATTTTCTTTGTTCTTCGCCTTGCCTTTGGTTATCGTCTTGTTCGTAAGTAAGGTAGAAGGAAGCGAGAAAGGAGATGAAGAGAAAGATGGAGGAGGAAGAGAAGAAGGATTAAGCCAATTTCGCAGAGGCAGGATTCTAAACTCAGGTGACATGTGTTACTGTTTATTTTTTTTTTACCTGTATATCTCTATTGCTATTGCTGTGTGGTGCAGCGGTAGCGATCTAGTCTAGCAATCTTGCTGACCTGCGTTCGAATCCCTCGCCACCAGTGGATGGTAACCCCGGCCATTCCTTGCACACAGGGTATAATTTAGAAGCAAAATAAAACAGACAATATGTCACACCAAGAATATCCATTGTAACAAATGGAATAAAACTAAATTATTTATTATTTATTATTATTATTATTGCTCTCCCCATCCTCATTATTGCTAACAATGTTAGTAGTAACAGCATAAAAACTTTGGTGTCATTATCACCACTAGTGTGTCATAAGCTCGAGGTCCGTATTTGCGATAATATGTGTGAAAAAGGATGGTTGTCTTATAAATGTGCAGATGTCGAAAATGTGTAGTATATGCATGTCAGTAATCTCAATTATAAGCTGTTTCCAAATAGAAGCTGAAAAAGATATTAGTGAATGATTAAAACGAATATGGTTAATTGGTCACCCAGTTAACCGCTGTGAATTCTTGGTGCTTATCTTCGTGCACTTTCTCGCACCATGTTCAAACAATTCACAAAAGAAAAAGCTTCAACAATGTTTAGAGTATCATTAAATTGGACTGATGCAGTCTTTATAACGTATATACTTGATACATTACATTGCGTGCCACGAAGCTCAATACATTTATAAAGATACAAACGAAATAGTAACACACGTGAGTAACATACAATTTAGTGAGCATACAGTCAACTATACAAGAGAAAACTATCTAAACACTAATAGTATCACCAACTCCACACTTTCGTCACCAGGGGCTCATACAGTGAAGGCGGATTTGAGGGTCGAGTTTCAAATGGTTGACCTTCCAACCAGCCTGGGCGTCATCACGGGCGCGCAGGAGTTCACGGAGCAGCCGACGTCACCGCCCACCACAGGAAGACCTTATTTTGCCTTCAGGTCAGTGGCTTGTGAGTCGTAGTTTAAGGTTTCGTGCTGTCTTTGCCTGCGAGTTCGTTTTTGTAAGACAGTGACGGATTTGTGCAACTATAGTGGGTAAAGCATCGATTTCCTATTGAATAGTGTGAATGTTTTGAAATATTTTTTTTTTCTAGGTATGAATTGTATTTTTAACATTTAAAATACAAAATGTGTGTGTAAGAATAAGTTAATTCCAGGGCATCTGAAAGGCAAAAAATATATCAAATCATGAAAGTTAAATGGTTTTAATTTACTTCTCTTCACTGTTATTCAGTAGACTTCCTACGTTTACATTCACAGGGGAATACCCTTCGCGGAGGCGCCGACGGGGAGGCTGCGGTGGGAGGACCCTGAGGAAGTGGGGGAGACGCCTTGGCCAGGGGGTCGCC